AACACGAAAAGTTGAGCTCTTTTCCTTCTCCATAAAAATGGAATCTTCTTCAAAAATCTGACTTTTTCTTACTTTTGGGATCATTCTATTGGGCATGTAACGCAACAAAACTTTTTTGTCAAAGGGTCTACTACTAAGTACTAAGCTATTAGTATAATGGTAAAATAGTAAAATTTGTTAACATGAAGAAGTTTTAATATTAGTTAAAAGAGGTTGACTTGAATCACACAAGCTATTAGTCGCCATTTAATGACTATAACTGAACACTTCATAATGCACGTCATACTTTATTATGATTATTATGTGGTTTAGTTTGGTATAACTAATTGATCGAATGTTAGTTTGTTGAAAGTTTTGTGACATCTATTATATATATTCTTGACTATCTAATTGGAACATTGGTGTGTAAGAAGCATCTTTACACGAGGAGAGTCTCAACCCCCTTTTTCTTTCATGAGAATATTTCTAGCTAGTTATCAATAACTATTGTGTTTCTTTCAATTTTTTACATTTGATTTCAGGGATAGACGCATTATTTCATAGTAGGGGTGTCATGAAAAATTCAAGGGGTTGTACGATAAAAGAAAAAAAAAATCGAAAATTTTCAGAAAATTTTACACTGTGTCCGAAAAAGTATTTGATTTGGAGTTTTAACCACTTATTTATATTCTTTCATTTGGTATAATTGAAGATGTTTAGACTATTTGGCATAGATATTGTCATAACCATGAAACCATCAAAATCATTTTTACAACCATGAAACCTAGGATATGAGTAAATTGTATCAACCAACATAAAATTTTCAACATGAGTCAATACAATGTAACTACATTTTCTTGAGATGTTACACAACCATCTTTCGTTGGTATCTTCTTTCCTAAATTTTTACAATTCTCTTTGATACGCTCTATATTGTTGCTAATACACATATAACTTATATAACTAGAAATGAAATTGATTCATGTAACCAAAATAGCAACACCATTTTCATTCTCTTTCTTGGACCGCTCATGAATAGCAACATTTATTTAATATGTTATTCAAAAAAATCTCATTTTACCCTTTAGGAGTTCAAGCTTCCTCAACTAATAATGCCTAAACCTTTGACCCTACAAAAAATATAGAAAATGGAGATTAGAACCAATGTTAATGACGACTTCCTTACGTAGAAAAATAGTTAAGGGAGAAGATATTACTTTTTGAGAAGATTTATGGATTGATAATATTCCTTTAAGTACCCAGTTTTCTATTCTTTATGGCCTCAAAAATAATAAATCTTGGTTACTAAAAGATCGTTGGTTAGATAATCAATGGAGATGGGATTGGCGTATGAACATTCAACATGGTATTGAAAATGATCAACTAAATGTGTTAATATATTTGGTTTGTGATGTCAAACGGGGTTGATCTTGGATTGAGATCTTAGCTATGATGAAAATTTTAATGTTAAAGATACGAGAAAACAAATTAAACAAATTATGTTGCCGGATAATGAAAGGGAGACTTCTTGGAACAAATTCATTCATAGAAAAATCAACATATTTTTTGGCATTTATCGTTAGATATATTATCGATTCGAAATAACTTGGCATATAGAGGCATCAACATTTTTAATACTTTTTGACCTTTGTGTAACTTGCATCCGAAACCAGTGTTGCATGTTTTTACGGATTGTCAGATTGCTTTGAAGATTTGGACGAATTTGGCTCATTGGTTACATATGGATATTCCATGAGAATGAGAAATTATAAATTTAATTAAGTAGGTAAATCTATTGCAAGTTTCTTAAATAAGAATCATATCATTGATGAGACACTTCGGTCTACATGTTGGGTGATACGGAAATATATAAATGAGGTCATGTTTACAAATTCTATGCGTAAAGTAGATTATATATCTTATTCAATTGTTGGTTTGTCGTTTTTTAGATTAAATAGATTTGTAAGAACTTTACATCATGAATTTCTTGGCTTCAAAGCTTATTGAACTTTGTGTAGTTTCCTAGCTGTGTGCTAGTTTTGGTTTTATATCATTAAGTTGTTAAAAAAACCAATGCTAGAAAATAATATGATTAATAATATAAAAAGTAAAAAGTAAAAGAACTTAAAGTCAAATTCAAAAAAGAATTCAAAAATACGAAAGAAGAAAGGAACCAATCACCATTCTTAGATCAACTTCATCCGATTCTGATTTATAGGGAACCATCATTTTGTAACGATCTATATAAATCATGGTTGTATGAATTTGATCGGATCAGATTCATGCAATTGTGATATGTAGGGATCCATCATTTTGTAAGCATCTATAAATTATGGTTGCATGAATTTGATCAAAAAGATATCATAGAATTCATTGATTTTTTCACAATTTTTAGTTATCTTTTGAACCTTCATAACATTTCTTATAATCCCCCAAATTATGATTTGCAAGTGTTTATTCTACGTCATTGATAAGCAAATTTACTTTATCATCACACAATTGATTCTTTTTAGAATGATGGATTTTATTAGAAAAAATGACTAAAAAGAAACCAGCAAAACACAAACATCAAATAACAACACACATAGGGTTTTGAAGTCAACCTATTCAGTTAATAGTTTTCTTTTATCTAACATTACACCATAAAAAAATTGCATGACAAACTTATCAAATCACAGTTAATTTATTATGAACATCAATTAACAAGACTAAATCATTATCCCATGATTCAAAACATATAACATGATTCAAAACATATAAACGATCATTTTATAGGTCGTTTCCTTATACACTTTTTATAACATGGTTTCATGAATGAGTAATACTATCGATTTGATTGATTTGTCTTATACATATAGTAATTAACTTTTAATAATAATACATATATAAGGTATATTTTAAATTTTTTTTAAATATGAGGTTCAAATATTAATTATTTAAATCAATCTTTTTAATTAATTAATATTAACATGATATGATTTATCTTTATCTTTTAATTAACAATTAATTAAATTAGTTAAATCATTTGGGGATTAAATAATTATTTACTAGTAATCAATTAATAAAAAAATTCAAATTTAATCTTAATCCAAAACCCCATAATTTTCGAAATAGGGCTTGGGTTTATCAAATTTTAATTATTCAATTTTAAGTCTTTTAAAATAACAATTAAGGAAACTACATAAACTGTAAAAGGGCTCTCTAAATTTCGAAAAAAGAAAAGGCTAAGGAGGTTAGGGTTTCAAGAACCCTAGCAAATTTCGAAAACCTAAGGGTGGAGACTAGGGTTTCAAGAACCCTATGAATTTTCAAAAAAATGCCTCCTTAGGGTTTAATTTCTATAAACCTTAATTTTTTTGATCTATTCAACTTTGTGCAAGATCAATAAAAATAATGGTTCTGATACCACTGATGAAACGATCCAAAAATTTAAAGAAAGTTTTCACTTTTAATTAATAAAACATAAATGCATAAACCATGAAATTCCCACAAAATTGTTTTCAAATCAACGATTAATTACAACTAATTCAAAACATCAGAGTGTCCCCAGTTCCTAACAGTGAAAAAGAGAGATAGAGTGCACGTCGCGCCATCACGTATTGCCCTTGCCATTGGGTTCAAATGTACCTGAAACAAATCAACAACTTGTAAGCAAATTGCTTAGTGAGTTCCCTAGAGCATACCACACACCATACATGTACATATCCTGTTAGCTAATTAAAGCTACATACATATCACATAAACCATGCATACATAAAACCTGTAATAGTGTCATGGGCTACTCACATGGTCTTTACCTAGGATTTCCATGGGCTACCCCACATGGTCTTACATCCAATGTCATAGGCTACCTTACATGGTCTTTACCTAAGACGACCATGGGCTACCCCACATGGTCTTACATCCAATGTCACGGGCTCCCCCCGGGGTCTTCATGCAAAACACATAATCACATATCATATAAAAGCACATAATGGCTAATACATATATCATAAACACATAATGGGTCGGCCTTGGTTCCTTAGACCCATGGGTATGGTGAAAAGACTCACCTCTGTCTGCTGGTATACAATAGTTGCTCTTCTAACAATCCAAAACCTCCTAAGCTGAATGATAATATTAATAAATGTTAGAACTTTGGTTAACTAAGGGAACCCAGCTCCCCAACCCTTCTATAAGGCCCAAATATCCATCCTTTGCTAGCTAATGGGCCCAAGGCCTAAGTCCAAAATCCTTAATGGGCTTCTTGGCTCAATAAGGCCCAACACTAATTCCATGGCCCGCAACAACTATATGGCTCATAATTCCCAGATTATACTAGGCCCAATAATCAAATGAGGCCCAAATAGCTTAAGGGCCCAAAACAGGTTTGACCCATCTGTATTGCGACGCTCGGCGTACCATCTTGGTACATGTCGCGTACTAGGACATGGGACTACGCCCCACGTACACTGAGTTACGCCCAACGTACCCGCAATTTAAGCACTTTCCCTATTAAGTGCTTAATACTCGAGTCCTTTACGTCTAAAAGCCAGATCTAAGCCTGTAAAGATGTCCTAAGGCATAAAGTTGGCAACTTTATGCCTTTGTATAACTCAAACACCCCCAACGTCTCCATTAAGACCTTTCCAAGGTCTTTAACCCATGAATGAGGCCAAAGCTCTCATCAAGCTTCCATTTTTATGGTACTAAAGGACTAAAGGACCTCAGATCTGCCTATCCCTTCTCCTGGAGTTGCTTAACTCACGAAGGATGTACAAAATCATCCAAAAAGGGGCCAAGCAAGAAACCCTAGATAGATCTAGAGATTAAGATGGAAAGGTGCAAGCTTTATACCTCCAGAAGCTTTGTAAGATGACTAAGATGCAGGATCTTGAAGTACCAACTCGTTCCAAGCTTGTAAACCCACCTCTTCTTCTTGGAATGGACATTAAAAGAGTTACAAAGCACTTCTCTAAGCTCAAAATGGTCTCATACAAGATCTCTGGAGTATATGGGCGTTCTAAGGTAG